AAAAAAAAAAAAAAAAAAAAAAAAAAGAATAGTGTTTGATATACATGTGCATTGTTAACAAATAATAACTGTAAAATAGCGATGTAGCTAATGATATAGTTAATGAATATACACACTTGCCTTTTGTCTTGGTATGTATGACAAGTCTTGTATACTTTTCATTAAGAGGGAGAAAAGTCCAGAACTCTCTAATTTATGAAAATTTTATATGTTTGAAAAGCATTTAAGTGTATGCTTTGGCAGCATGTACACTAATATTGTCCCTATTAAATAAATTCAGAGGTGATCATCATTTTAACAATGGTAATAGAGATGTGAGTCAAATGCCTTTGATCTTGTTACAGATGTAAACGCTCAGGTGGAAAGAGGGGAAGTATTTAGAGTGAGAGACTTAAGGTGGAACACGCAAAAAAAAAAAAAAAAAGGAAGATTTGGTATAATTGTTTTAAAAAGAGTGTGGCAGTATAGAAGAAAAGGTACCCATGATGACACTGAGTCATCGTTTCAGAGTTGGGGCTGGCATTTCGGAGACCTTGAGCCGGGAGTCAGAGGATGTGGATTTCAGTCCCAGGTGTGCCACTCTTGAGTAGTTTGATACTGGCCAAGCCCTGGGGCCCCAGCTGATGTTTTGTATAAGGAAAGGTACCTGTGTTGGTTGATCTTCCACATGCTTCTGACTTGGGCCCTCTTTGACAGCTTTCCATTCCATTGCTTTGACCTACTGTAGACAATAGCAAAGAGCAGTTCTCCCCTTGGTATCATTGCTGTATTGATCTCAGGAATATTTGGCATTGAACTTAGATGGCATATGTTCTGTATGTGCATGGAATAGGGAGGCTGAGAAAGCTGGCTTTTCTTGAAGGTAGTTATTTTTATCTGGGTAGGTAGCAACCTACTGTACAGTGCGCACAGAAGCTGGAAATAGTACCTAGAGTGTTTCCACGTGTTTAGAGGAGATTAATTTATGCATTTGTATCTAATCAACCACCTGTTTTTTTTATAGCTTGCATAATAGTCTGTATATAATTATGGGTGCTGAACTGACACCTGGCATATGTTAAAATGTGAGGTTCAAAACATAAATGGTTGGCTTTATTATTCATTTCTGAACAATAGCTTATTAGATAATTTTGGTGTAACAAAATTCTTTTAAGAGGAAATTGAATTTTCAGTTTTAGTGCTTTTTAAAAAAGAAAACTATTGGTAAATTGCTTGTATTTAATTAGGAAAAGATGGGGCTTGAATTAGAATGTATAGAGGCGTTAGCCATTATATGTATTACCTTTGAAGTGTTTTTAGACACTAGTTAATGAAAATGAGAGAGAAGTTAAAATTCTTGATACTGGATAAAAGTGAAAATGTACAGCTGTATTTTCTGTTTTTGTAACTGTCACAGTTTAAGTTTAATCTTCCTAATAAAGAATGTGTGTGCCATCAACATTGGGTTCTCTGCGGGTACGCACAGTTCTCCTCGCCTTTATGTAGTGAAAGTGAGCAACACGTATGTGGAATAGGAATGATGCAGGGTTTCTTGTGTTTTTCCTTTTAATATCACTATTCATAATATTTGGAATGCTGTTATTAGTAGGACGCAATACTAAGTATGGAGTTACCTAATGTTTCTTGAAGCAAACCTTTGAGAATGGCACAAAGAAGCGATCCTGAGTTTGCACTGAGTAGGGAGTAGACCAGCTTCCAGAGACTTGGTGGGGTAAGAGGCACAAAGTATGGTATGTTCACTGCTAGGGTGAGAATTATACCTCCTCTTCTCCTGCAGCAGATAATCTTCAGGGGGAAGCTCCACAGGGTTCTACGATTTATATTGGTTCGGTTTCTCTGTAAGTTTTCATGTTCCTTTAACTGTTTTATCCCATTACATGCTTTGTAAACTTAACAAATTCTACACCTCTTTTGTTTCTTTCTCATTTAATACCTGCTTTTATGTTTTTTCTATTTATCTTTTTATTATCTAATGGTATTGTGTTTAGAGGGAGTGGTATATGTATGATTTTAAATCTTTGGTATTTGTGGATACTTCTCTCATGACTCAGTATGTATATGTACTTAGGGGGAAAGAAAGGTGAATTCTGCCATTGTTGGGTGATGTGCTTTTTTTCTTATAGTAGCTCAAGCTTGTTAATGTGATAGATAGATATAGATATAAATCTATGTTCATGCTGATTGTTTTTTGTCTTTTTTATCAGAGATAGGGATTTAAATTGTTTTTCAGCTTTATTGAGGTATGATTGACATAAAATTGTAAGATATTTGAAGTGTACAAAGTGATGATTTGATATATGCATACATTGTGAAAGGATTCCCCCACTGAGCTAACACATCAGTCGTCTCATATTTTGTCCCGTTAATCTTTTTTTGGGGTTGGGGTGAGAACATTTAAATTCTTCTCTTTTAGCAAGTTTCAATTATACTATATTGTGTTATCAACTAGAGTCACATTGTTTTACATTAGATCCCCAGACTTTATTCATCTTACAGGTGAAAATTTGTACCTTTTTACCAACGTGTCCCTATTTTCCTCACTTTAACCTTTGTTTTTTTTTTTAAGAATGTCCCTTTTCTTTCTTTCTTAAATTTACTTTTTAATATTTATTTATTTATTTTTACTTTTGGCTGCATTGGGTCTTTGTTGCTGTGTATGGACTTTCTCTAGTTGCGGCCAGCGGGGGCTACCCTTTGTTGTGGTGCTAGGACTTCTCATCTTGGTGTTAGGGCTTCTCATCGTGGTGGCTCCTCTTGTTGTGGAGCACAGGCTCTAGGCGCGTTGGCTTCAGTAGTCGTGTCTCGTGGGCTCTAGAGCGCAGGTTCAGTAGTTGTGGCACATGGGCTTAGTTGCTCCGTGGCATGTGGGATCTTCCGAGACCAGGGCTTGAACCCGTGTCCCCTGGTGGATTCTTAACCACTGTGCCACCAGGGAAGTCCCTTACCTTTGTTTTTTTTTTTTGTTTGTTTGTTTGTTTTTGCGGTACGCGGGCCTCTCGCCGCTGCGGCCTCTCCCGTTGCGGAGCACAGGCTCCGGACGCGCAGGCTCAGCAGCCACGGCCCACGGGCCCAGCCGCTCCGTGGCACGTGGGATCCTCCCGGACCGGGGCACGAACCCGCGTCCCCTGCATCGGCAGGCGGACTCTCAACCACTGCGCCACCAGGGAAGCCCTTTACCTTTGTTTTTGAAGGGTGTTATTGTTGGATATAGATTTATAGGTTGCCAGTTATCTTTTTTCTTTTGGTACTTTAAAGATTGTTCCACTGTTTTCTGGTTTGCATTGTTTCTGATGAGAAGTCTCCTGTCATCCTTATTTTTGTTAGGTTATGTGTTAGATAATCTCTACATAATGTGTCTTTTTACTCTAGCTGCTTTTACAGATTTCTTCTTATTGCTGGTTTTTAGCAGTTCGATGATGATGTACCTTGGTGTGAGTTTTCTTTTTTCTACTTGAGGTTCATTGAGTTTCTTAGAGTGTGAATTATTAATTTTCATAAATTTGAAAAAATTTCAGCCAGTAGTTCTTCAAACAAATATTTTTTCTGCCTCCCTCTGCCCCCTTTTGGGATTCTCATTGCACATACATTAGGTTGTTTGAAGTTGTCCCACAGTTCACTGATGTTCCAATGCTTTTTTCTTTTTTACCCAGTCTTATTTCTTTCTGTGTTTATTTTGGATAGTTGTTTCTTTTTTTTATCTTTCTTCTTCTTTTTTTTTTTTTTTGCTAAGTGTTGTGTCTTCACTAATCTTCACTAATCATTGAGTCTGCAGAGTCTAATATGTTAATCCATTTCAGTGTATTTTTCATATAAGACATTATAATCTCTAGCCCTTGGATTTAGGTCATTTAAAATTTTCTATTTCTTTCCTTATGCTTCTTTCTTCTTTCTTTCTTCTTGAGTGTATGGACTGTATTTATAGTAGCCATTTAAATACTTTTTTCTTATTCTGTCACCTGTGTCATTTCCCTTAATTAAATTTTCTTTGTATGAGTCATATTTTCCTACTTTTTAGTGTGTGTGAATTTAATTGGATGTCAGACGTCATGATTTTTATGTTGGGCACTTTTGTTTCTTTATAGCCTTTTAAGTACTTTTGTGCTTTTTCTTGGACTCATTTAAGTTACCTGGAAACAGCTTGATCCTTTTTGAGACTTTTAAGCATTCTTAGAACAATCCAGAACAGCCTTTAGTGTAAGGGTTAATTTGGTCACACCACTGGTGCAGTCTCTTTCTTCGGGCTTTCCTTGATGCCCTGTATTCAGGTGGTCTTTAGCTTATTGGTACACTAATCATTTCCAGCCCTGAGTAATTTCTAAAGATTGTTCTGCATACTCCTTATGATTTTAAAATTATCTTCCAGTTTTTATGTTATGCTGTAAGCTATAATTGTGTATTTTCCAGATTATTTCAGCCTTTTTATTGAAATACGTGGAGAATTATGTTATGCTAGGTTTAGTGATTAACCAAATGTAATAGTTTTATAATAGCCTGAAAAAATGACCACACCTCCTAAAACACCTAACACATCCAGGGGCGCTCTTGGTATCAGGGCTTTATTTATAAAGCAGTGATTATGAAGAAATGATGTGTATATATTTCTCATCCTAAATAATACCTATTTAATTTTCTCATTGTTTTCTACTCCTTCTCTCTCTCTAGGAAGAACGTGTCGTGAATCACATGGCAGCAAAGATTATTGAAAATGTCTGCACTACCTTTTCCGCTCAGGCCCAGGGCTTTATTACAGGAGAAACTGGGCCTGTTTTATGGTACCTATTCAAACATTCTACCATTGATTCTCTTAGGATAACTGCAGTATCGGTAAGATGGAGCATCTTTTGGGGATATATTTGCGTGTATTTAAATACCAAGCTTGAAGAACTGTGCTAGATACAGAGTAAATTTCATTGGATAGGTAGAAATCTCAGAGTAACAGTTGGTGAGAACAGTAATTTGATTTTCTCCTGAAGCAGGAGGACTGTCAGGAAATTCCAGTAGGATCTTGTGTGACCATGAATTACAGTTTCAAGAACTATTTGGAGGTGATAGTGGAAAACCATGGCAGTGGTTAGGGTGCAGGATTTGGTTTGGTATATTTCTAGTGTCCCTTGACTTTTCCCGTTAGCTCCCTCTTTCACACTTAACGTTAAATGGGTTTATCATGTGGTTCAAATGAATTCATGTTAATGTTCAAGCATCTGTGATTTTGCAGTTTCTGTATTTTGATTGGTTGTCTACTGCTTTGCTTCCGTGGTTATAATGACTTGATGTAAAGGATAATTATGTATGAAGATGTGTTAACCTGGTTGTATCAATTTAATAGCCGGTTGAACAGACACAGGCCTTTCTCATATGATTTATTTATATATTCTTTTTGATCACCAGTCTTATCTGGACTCTCAACGTTATCTGGTACCCTCCCTGTATTTCTCTAGTCTCCTCATTCTTGTGCTTCTCACTGTGCCAATTTCAGACCTTATCCTCTTTCCTTAACCCTCCAATCCCATGTTTTCCCTCCTGCCTCCTCAGTAAATGGCTTCCCCCTCAGTAAATACTTCCCAGAGAAAAATGGAGACATCCAGCGGGAATTATCCCAGTGTCTTTCTTACACATCTTTGGACCTATTTGCATCCACAACTATCCTGCCTCAGTTCTTTCTCTCCTGTTACAGCTGACCAACTGTCCCTTCTCCTGTCAGAGACAAACATGTCCATGATTCTTCTATCTCTTCTTTTTTTGAGAATCTCAACTCAAATGGTTATTTTTGCTCTTTCCTAAATCTTTACCCTCTCCTTGTGTACTAGATCTTTCTAATCAGTGTTCAGGTATTCTTTACCACATTAAAAATAAAAAGACACACATAAAAACATATCCAGAGTTTCTTAGGAGGTACCTCCATCCCTCCTCCCCCCTCCCCCGCACCCCACCCCAGCCATACTTCTTTAAAGGGTTATTGCCACAAGCTTGCTCCTTTCTGGCCTGTTTTCTCTTCAACCCTATCTGGTATCTGTCCTAAAAACACTAGTGAACTTTCTCAAGCCATCTTTGAGTCACATCTTAAGGCATTCGTTTTAATCCTGGGCCTTTAATAAAGAAAAACCTTGCTTTAATTGGGTTTGTATTACCATTTTCATTTTTATGCTCAGCATGATTTCTTTTCTTGGCAGAGATTTTTTTCCACTTGTTCCCACCAAACTCTCATACCTTCTAGCTCTTTCTTCGTTTGACACATTAAGCTTCACTCTTTGATCTTGGGCTTTTTATATTTTTGTTCTTAGTGTTCATCTAATTTATTAATTTTTCACTGTAATTTTTCCGATTTCCTCCAAAATGTCTCTTCTTTTCTGCTCCAGGATCATGTTCAGTATCATATGTTATATATTCTTTTCATATTTCTTTAGTCTCCTTCAGTTTGAAACAATTCCCCAGTATTTCTGGGAACTTCATGTCATTTACAGGTTTAAAGGACACAGGGCTTGTATTTTGTAGGGCAAGGCTCGACTTGGGTCTATATAGTGTTTTCCCATTAAACCTCCTTAACATCATTGAGGACCCTTACCTGTAGCATATGCCTCTGTGATCGTTGCCATATGATGACCATCTGTTTCATTCCTTTTATATCAGAGATTGGCAAATACTTTCTATAAAGGGCCAGATGATATGTATCTTGAGCTTTGATGGCCACATATGGTCTGTGTTCCATATTTGTTTGTTTTCTTTAACACTTTAAAAATGTAAAAACCATTGTACATTGTTCTCATGAGCTGTACAAAATCAGGCCTTTGGTATTGGTTGGAATTCTATTTTAAAGAAGCTCTTTCCCTTCTCCCACACGTATGTGTGTATTTATATCCTTATGATCATGGATACCTTTTTTTTTTTTTTTTTTTTTTTTTTGTGGTACGCGGGCCTCTCACTGCTGTGGCCTCTACCGTTGCGGAGCACAGGCTCCGGATGCGCAGGCTCAGCGGCCATGGCTCACGGGCCCAGCCACTCGGCGGCATGTGGGATCTTCCCGGACTGGGGCATGAACCCGTGTCCCCTGCATCGGCAGGCAGACTCCCAACCACTGCACCACCAGGGAAGCCCCATGGATACCTATTTTATTCAAAGAATTGTAATGTGATACTACTATTACCACTATTATTATTTATTGTTTGGATGCTCAGATCATCCTAGAAGCCTTACAAGCTGGCTTTTGTGTCCCATTGACCTATTTCTTTTTTTAAAAAATAAATTTATTTATTTATTTTATTTTTGCTGCATTGGGTCTTCGTTGCTGTGCGCGGGGTTTCTCTAGTTGCAGCCAGCAGGGGCTACTCTTCATTGTGGTGCGCAGGCTTCTTATTGAGGTGGCTTCACTTGTTGTGGAGCATGGGCTCTGGGCACACAGGCTTCAGTAGTTGTGGCCTACAGGCTCAGCAGTTGTGGCACACGGGCTTAGTTGCTCCACGGCATGTGAGATCTTCCTGGACCAGGGCTCGAACCCGTGTTCTCTTCATTGGCAGGTGGATTTTTAACCACTGTGCCACCAGGGAAGCCCCCATTGACCTATTTCTATCATTGATCACTTCCTTACTTTCTGACACCATGCAGTTTCTGGGCTACTTTTGTACTTGCTCTGCCAGCCCTGGAACCAATCATTTCTCCAAGGGACCTTTGGTATTTAGAAACCACGATCAGAGTGCTGTGCTTATTGCTATGGGGTGTTATTGTTTTCAGGCCTTCTTAGTATTCAGAGCTAGAAAAAAGTATATGTACTCATAATACACACGCATATAGAATTGTTCTTATATCTATCATTGTGGGTATTTGGAACAAAACTCATGCATTCATATTGATACTTCCAATTTGAATCCCATACTTAGGATTCTTTTCAGCCTTCCCATTTTCTGTGTTTGTAAATCTAATCTCATGCAGAAACCTGGTTTCAGTTATTCTCAGTATATTTACTGATCTGTTCAATCAGTTAATTTATTCATTCAGCATAACAGACTCCATCCACTCTGGCCGCTGCCTCTATGTCATTCCCTTTCTCCCGTGTCACTGCCGAGTGTGTCCTGAGCCACTTGTGCTCAGTGCTCCCATTCCCCTCTGACCTCTTTCCTCAGAATCTGATGTATTGCCCTTGGGAGGGGAAGGTAAGGGAAGATAGACTAAGGAAAACAAAGGGTTAGGTATCATTTTTGATGCTTTATCTTCCCTAATTCCTTCCCCTTCGCTGTTTACATCCAGCCAGTCGACCTGTCCTCTGACTCTAATTCATAGATACTGCTCAGATCTGTCTGCCTCTCTCTGCAGCTCTGCTGCTGCCTCCATGATCCAGGCCACCACCATCTCTCACTGAGACCAGTGGAGTGGCCTTAACTGGTCTCCCACGGCCAGTTTGCTGCTCCACTAGTTCCATTTTCCATACAGGGTGAACTTCATAAAATCACATCTCCTCTTCTTACTGCTCTGCTAAAACTTTTCAGCATCTTAAAATTTTTTTTTAAAGGACGATAATACTAGATAAATACTACAGAGTACTAGGTAGAAGTTAAGAATTGGCAAGTGCTTTGAGTTTCAGGATAAAATTTAATGTTTAAAGCAATTAGCACATTTTGTGGGGTAAATTAGTTATGCTAGCTTATTTTACTGTAATCCCTTATAGATTGTAAACTCCTGGAAAGCCAGGACTGTGTTTTGTTCATCTTCCTATCAGTTTGAAGCCAGGTCTTTGGTTGCAGGTTTGGACTTTCCCTGCAAAGGTTGATATGGAGCCTCTTGTCTCACGTCATGAGTGGAGGGCAGGAGGTTGATAACATTAAACGTTCTTCTTTACTTGGGCTACAAGGGGAAATAGGCCACAGAGGTCCCGCTAATAATAGAATGGGGAATACAGTATGAGATCATTGTTTGGGGGGATCCTAAAACAAAGTTATTCTAACATCATAATCTTAAGAAAATTTCACCTGCCTTAAGAAGATTCATTAAAGGTTGAGGATATAGAAACTGAAAATACGCATCCTGACGACACTTTACACAGATTCCTAGAGGGATGACAGTTGAATTTTCCCCAGCACGTCCTACAGAGCTGAACTTCTTTTTTGGTTTCTTTTCCGATAACAACCTCTCAGGAATGTGCTCTGGAGGTTAACGTACCCATTTAGTGATAAAGATCAGAATTCTTCACATGACTTTCAAGATGTTGGGTGATTTTTGCCTCTGCCTACCTCTTTTGTCACATCTCCTAACACTCATTCCCTCACTTACTGTGCTTCAATGACACACATGTTCTGATATTTTCAAGAATTTCCAAGCACTCTTCGGCCTCAGGACTTTTCCCCTTGCTATTCCCTGTGCCCAGGATGCCTTCCTCCGGCTTTTCACATGGCCGATTCTTCATCTTCTAGTTCTCAGCTTAAATGTTACTTCTTTCATCAGGATGTTTCTTGCCCCTCGAGTCTCTTTGTATTTTCTGTCATAGCAGTCAACACAGCTGTATTTATGCAACCTATGTATGCACATCATCATACATTCTGTTAGGAGGTCAGTTCTAGGAAGGCAGGGACCCTGTTGCCGTTGTTCCCTCCTGAACACGTGTGGTAGGTGCCCGGTGTATATCCGTTGACTTGATGGCTGCAAGAGCAAGGCTGGAGGATGGTGTCATCAGTGCTGAGTCACCATCTTGCTCCTTGTTCCACGTGTTAACAGTCTGTGCCTCCTGCCCGTGTCACTGATTTTCTGACCCGTTTCTCCTCGTCATCTCTTGGCCCCATAGAGTCCCCCTGGACCAGTGTGATGCAGATGAGCAGCATTAACATCACCTGGGAACTTGT